CTCTTCCCCATACCGCTTTCCATCTAGCAGGTCTGGAGAGGCTGGTGGGAGAGTAGCTTTCCTGAAGTGCAAGAACCCTGCAGCCTCGAGAAGAGATACCTGCCGGGAAGGCCCATTTAGGCTGCACCAGGCCATGAAATACACTATGTATTAGTTCAGTTAATCACTAATGTATAAGCAGAAGTACTTTTATTAGTTCCATCTTACAGGGGATGAAAATGTCCCTAGAGGCCAGGACTGGGAGCAGAACTGGGCCTGGAAACTTGGAGAGAGGCTGGAGTGTGGTCCTGTGCCTGACCTTTTGTACCCTGGGCTTTTCTAGAGTGGCAGCGGAAGGGGCTGGGCCTAGGGTGCTCAGTCCTGGCCGACACAGCTCATACTAGGGGCTCTCCTCAGCACTGTGGTCTGCCGGGTGGGGGCAGCTCAGGCAGGGGCTCTCTTTTCTAAGGCATTGTGATGCAGAGCCAGGGATGAGGCAGACAAGTGCTAGTTGACACTGGGCTGTGGATCTGCTGCCCCTTCCTCTGTCACTTCAGCTATGTCACCCCTTACCCCATCCACAATTTCCTCCTCTGGCTAGGGGTGTGCTTCCCTCCTAAAGGACAGCGTGAGGACCTGTGGGACTGCAGATGTGAAGCACCTCGAAAAGCTAAAGCACCATACCAGGTGGCACTGAGTCTCGGGCTGCCACAGGCATAGGTCCTTTCTGTAATATTCTTCACCAGGCTCCTGAGATGCCACTGCCGGTGCACATTTATGACCCTTGTCCTTACTAAGAGGTGAAGTTTAGTGTGTGGCAGGACCTTCGTGGTGGATCTGACTTCAAGACCACACTACCTTGTGGGTCGTGGGTCATGGGATCTAGAGCTACAATTGTGCTTCTAGTTGAAGCCTGTTTCAAACACTGAGGCTCTACTGCCACCATGTGGTAGCATGGGATAACTGCAGCTGAGCTTGGACCTCGGAATCTCTGAAAGTCGAGTTCCCTCCCTCCCTCCCTCCCTCCCTCCCTCCATCCCTCCCTCCTTTTCATGCCAGCATGGTTATTTTTATTTTGAGACAAGATCTGGCTAATTTGTCCAGGCCAGCCTAGAATTTGCAATCCTCCTGCATCAGCCTCCCAACAGGCTGGAATTATGAGCAGGGAACACAGTGACTAGCTTTGGAGTCTGTTTTTCAGGGGCAGACCCAAGTTCTTAACGCAGGCCAAATTCTTCTGAGAGAGGGTCCAAGAATCTATACAACTGTAGAAAGATTCCTGGGGCTGCCTTTTAAGAAACTGACTGTATCTTCATTTAAACATACCTCCCGTGTGATTCCTCTGTAGGGCTGGGACTTGATAGGAGAGGACTAGAGCAGAAGAAAAATACGAAGCCCCTTGTTCTGCTGAAATGTAATCTTCAGTGTCCTGGGCTCTGTGACAGGTATCTGGGTGTGGAGATGAGCAAGATTATGGGGCTGGGGAGATGGCTCAGTAGAATAAGCACTTCCCTGGCAAGCACAAGGGCCTGAGTTCAATCCCCGGTTACACACACACACACACACACACACACACACACACACACACACACAAGATTGTGGCTTCTGTCTTTCAAGGTTGATGCTGCAGTGGGAAAAAACAGCCTCATCCAGGATGGCCAGCACGCGGAACCCACTGAACCTTCCCCACGGGCCCCTTAGGGCAATTACCAGGCATCTTGGTGCAAGTAGGCAGCTGGCTGTGGAAGGTAGAGGCCGACCTGAGGGGAAGGTTTGGGTGTGTGTGCGGGGCAGGTGATGGGGCTCCAACAGGGGGAATGCTTGCAACCTTCAGTCCAGATTGGGCAGGACCCAGAGACCTGCATGTGATTAAGGGCAGGAACTGAGATGCAGCTGAAGAGGAACCCAGGAAGGAGACCTTTGGCCAGAACTTACACTCTGCACCAAGAGCTGGTAGGCACCAAGAAAGGAATTTAGGCCATGGGTGGGCGAGACTGCGCCTGCAAAAATGCAGGGTGTTGTGGCAGCCCCTGAAATCCCAGCTGCTTGAGAGGCTGAGGCAGGAGGGTTGCAATTAGAGGCCAGCCTGGGCATTTTGCTAGATTTTATCATAAAATAAAATAAAATAATAAAATAAAATAGTAATGGCTGAGGATGTAGCTGGATGGTAGAACACTTACTTTCCATGTATGAAGCCTTGGGTTCAATCTCTAGCACCGCACACAGACTCTATCTATTATCTGTCTATCTATCTATCTATCTATCTATCTATCTATCTATCTATCTATCTATCTATATCATCTATCTTCATTGTCATCATCTATCTGCTGCCTACTACAGAGAACAATGCACACAGGGGACAGTGAGGTGGGGTAGCCCAGCAGGAGGATTTGCAGCTCCCCTGCAAGATGTGAGCAAGGCCTGCACTAGGCTCCAGAGGTGGAGAGGAGGGTGAGGCTGGAGGGCTGTCAGCAGGGCCTCTGATTCCTAGGGTTTGGTGGCTTATGGATGTTGGGTTAAGTGAGGAGTCAGGGCTAACGCCAGGGCTCTGGCTTGGACAATGTAGTGGACGATGATGCTTTTGTCTGAGACAGGAGTGGAAGTGGGATGGGGGAGGAGGACATGGGTAACAAAGTGGGGCAAGAAGAGGAGGAAGAGGATGGTTTGGGGGAAGATGCCACATTCAAATTTTGCTGTTGTTGTTGATCTTGAACTGCGTTAGCTGTAATATACAATGATGAGAGGCACAGTACCTGAGCTTACAGGATGAGTTCATCTGTAGACACGTTGAGTTGGGGCATCTTGGGGGACACTGGGTGGCAATGCCCACTTCATGACTGAGTCCCATCACTTCTACCTAGAAGCCACTCACTGTTCACCTCTGTCCCTCTCACCCAACCCTCTACCCCCCCTTGCCCCAGTGCAGAGGAAGATGGGCTGGAGTAGAGGAAGGCAGAAGTCCATTCAGGGGCCCAGGGTGTGTCTCCTGGGCAGGAGTGGGGCCTACAGAGCCTGGGCAATCTGGTGAGGTCGGAGCACAGGCTCAGCAGGGCTCAGTGGTGCTGAGGAGGAGAGACCACACTGGCAGGAGAGGCTTGTGCAAGTTGAGGTGCTGCCGGCAGGCAAGCCCCCGACAAGTAGATGCTGAGGGTGGAGCTGGGGGAGGACTGATGGACTGATGAGAAGTAAAACAGGGGAGGCCAAAGACCTGCACTTCTCTTGGGTAAAATGCTGATGTTGAAGTGTTCCATCCCATTTTTCTCAGTGTAGTAGTAGCATAGGAATGGAATGGGATTTCAGACTTTTGCATGTGGAACCCACTGGGTCTCAAGGATCTGAGGGGTCAAGTGACTGGAGACCACGGTCAGAGAGCTGAGGAGGGTGGCCTCAGGCCAGCCACTGCCACAGGGATGTGGGGAGGGGGAACCAGTAGACCCCAGGCCCCAGCCCACAAGCACCCCAGGCAGATCCTGTGCCCCTCAAGGTGCCTGGCTGTCCCCTGACCATGGGAGAGGGATGGAGTAGCCCAGAGGCAGTTTGCTAAATGGCTTTATGCTGTGCCCAGGAGGGTGGATAAGGGTGATAAAGTTGGAAGGAGACAAGGAACAAATAGGGGAATGGTGGTCTGGGCTAGGGTTGGGAGGCCTGGAGGCTGATGGGCCCCAAAGGGGAGTGTCTAGGAGAAGAACCCTTCTTCGCCCTGCTCCAGGTGTGTGGGGGCTGTGGCAGGTTGACCATCTCCAATGGAGACACCAGAGATAGTCCACGGGTGCCGTGTGACAAGCCTTTCGTGGGCTCCTCTTTCTGTGCCTGCCCACCTTCTGCAGCTCTTGCACCCTTGGTCTTCACCTTCACTGTTAGGCACTGAAAGCAGGGGCTGGCGGCTGGGGCCCTGAAATGCATGTGTAGGCCACTTAGGCTGGACTAGTTACTCTGGACTGGAGGGAACCTGAAGAGCTTGAGTCACCCCAGAAGGATGTGTAGCTAGAGAAGGGCCAAGCCCTTGGCGGGGCAGGGGTGCCCCATGGCTTCATCTGCTGTATGACTCACAGAGTGGGACACCATGGCTCCTGGGGCGTCACTGTTGAGCCAGGCTGAGTGGAAATGCCACCATCTGTACCACCTGGCTTTGTGGATGGCCTGGGAGGCCTGTGGGTGCCAGTAGTGGGGTGCTCCCAGGGCAGTACTTCTGCTCTAGGCACTGTGAATGAAAAGAGACCACAGAGAACCCAAAAAAGCCTGGGGAAAAAAGGGCTGCGGAGGCAGGAGGGCCACAAGGAGACTGCTGCAGGAGGTAGGAGGGCATGGCTGAAGACCGGGCGTCGCCGACTTTCTCTTCATGGGGCACAAGTAGCAATGGGAGCTGGATTGGAGCTGGACGTAGGATCTAGCCAAGCTGGAGGGTCCCAGGAACGAACAGCTTCCTTGACACTGGAATAGGTGACTGGGAAACATTCTAGAAATGCCTTTCTTTTTTTCTTTTGGAGGGAACAGGAATTGAACTGAGGCCCTTGTGCTTGCCAGGGAAGCACTTATTCTACTGAGCCATCTCCCCGGCCCCTAGAAATGCCTTTCTTAACCTCCTTTCTAAGGGAGAGGGACTCATCATGTGTTGAGGGGTGAATGGAGACCACTGGTCTTAATGACAGCTGAGACAAAATGACAGTGATACTAGTAACGGCCTTTACAATGATGGAACATGTAACCCGTGTTTAAGATTCCAGGAGCTTTGCGTCCGTTCTCTCACTCGACATCCCCGAAGGCCAGGCTTTCTGGAAAGGAGGCACAGAGGGGTCAAGGTCAAGGCGGTGGCAGGTCTGAATGAACAGAGAAGTGGTGCTCTTGGCCTGGTGGGCACTCTGTGGGAAGTGGCCGCCTCCCGTTGCCTCTGGAGGGAGAGCTGCCCTGGGCTCTGACCTCACTGGGACCTGTTCCCTTTCCCCTCTCGTTGGTGATCTGAGCAGAGTCCCGGGCGCTCACCCTGCCCCTACTTGTGTCCCCGTAGGAAGCCCAACGCAGGCTGACTGATGCATAACTTTATTAAATAAATGCTTTGCCATGACAAAAGACAAAGATCAAGGAGTAACATAAATTATAAGTTGAATAAATAGTATACAGCAATCTTCACTTTTTAATAAAACGTGAGATCCTCTGGGTTGGTTTTTTTTTCCTTTTTATTTCCTTAAGTACAAAATACTAAACAGGAGCAGAGCTCTTTCGCATTCAGGTGATTTTTTTCCCGCTTTTTTTTTTTTTTTCACAAACTGCTTTGTTTGTTGGTTTATTTTTGCATTCTTTTCACCAGTAAGACGAGCATTTATTTATTTATTATTTAGTTGAAAACAAAAAAGGAAAGAGAACAGAGTTATGGTATGGCTGTATGTAACACTAATAAAGAACTACAGTAATATGTGCGGTGATTATTGCTGTCTTCAAAACAAAAACAAAAACAACAACAAAAAAACAAAACCAAAAACAACCAGTAGGCAACTCGGAATCTGAAGGAACCTTGTCTGACAACTGTACTATCCATGTGGGCTACTGTGTGACAGTGGTGGTGATGGAGGTGGGGCTGAGGCTGGTGACCAGGGACCAGAGAAGCAGGGTGAATGGGGGCAGGGTGGCCGGGGGCTTCGTCCCCTCTGTCCCACCCACCTTCCCTTTCTCTGTCTGGGAGTATTTAAGGAGAGGGGGGCAGAGTCTGTGAAATGGCTAAACTAAATACTCCATTAGAAAACCAAGAAAGTATGTTTTAAAAAAGAAACTATAACCTAAAAGAGAAAAAAAAAGTGGAGAAAGTGCAAAATAAGTCTTGCACTTTAGTGGTTTTAAAAATAAAGACAGTACAACACCCAGGTTGCTGGTTGGCGAAATCCTATTTATTTCCTGGTCTCAAAATGGCCTCCTTTCTCTTGGAAGCCAGAGGTTCCTCTCTGAGACTAAAGGGTCTCTTCCTTCTGGCCCACTCCTCTCTCAGGTCCACATGGGGAACTGGAGCCCTTTCGGGTTCTGAGTTGAAAGATGGAGAGTGGGTGTGGCCTTGTCAGGGAGCGGCACGGCAGTGGCCATGACAGCTCCTGTGTGGCTGAGGCCCTGGTGGTGAGAGGAGAGTAGCCTAGCAGGGTTACCATGGCGACAGAGGGGTGATGAGAAGAGGGACAAGGGGAGAAGTGGAGGGGCCACAGAGGGCTCCCGGCCTCCCTTCCTTGTCCATGTGGGGCTGATGTCCCCAGGCCTGTCTAGGCCTGGCTGTCAGAGAAACATTTGAATCTCTTCCTTTCCAGGTGCCCTGCTTCGCCTAGAGGTTCAGGGCAGGCTAGGGGAGGAGATCAGTCTTGGCTGGGCCTCCCACAGTTACCTGGCAGTACTGGGGGAAGACAGAGGTATCTTTTCTACTGCAGAATGAGGCATGAGTCAAGGGGGGCTGTGAGGGGAGACCTCCTGAGGGGCTGGGGGTGGGGCAGGTACAGCCATAGGTACCCCAGTCTGAGGCCTCTGGGCAGCTAAAGGTTGGCCAAGGGCCCAGCTACAGCCCACGAGCTCCCTGCTCCCAGCTTCACGTACTCACGGCACTGTGAGCTGCTTTCTCTCCCTGATGCCAGGGGATGGTGGCCTCTCTTCTTTCCAAGACTCCCCTTCTGTTGTTGTCGCCTCACCCTGATGCAGTCAGGACCTCTACCCCATCTGTCCACCAAGGTCCAGCTTTCTGCAGGAGAGGCCAGTTGCCCACAGCCCACTTCTGCAAGTGTGGAGAGACGCACAGCTTTGGGCTAGCAGCCATGAACTTGGGGATCCTGAAGAGTCTGGCGGCAGGGTAAGTCACACTGCCATCTTCCCCCTGTGGCTGACAGCAAAGGGCCCTGTGTCAGGGCCGAGGCCAGGACAAGGTCCAGCAAACAGTGGGGGAGAGAGCCCTTCTCAGGGGTCAGGTCCATGCCTGGAAGGATGGGGGTCAGCAGTTCCTGGCTCAGTCTTTTCTTAGGGGGATGGTACCCCAGTATCCTCTGGGAAGCTCCCAGTTAGGTGACTGCTTATGATGCAAAAGAAGAATGGCAGAAGGAAGGTTGAGCATACTGGCCTACGACACAGAGATGGGTAAGCTGGGGGCTTAAGGACAGTGGTGCAGAGAGCCGGAGTGCACTGGCCTGCCGGTCCAGTAAGTTCTTCCTGTTTCATCACCATCTCGCCCTTTGTCTTATGAAGATCAACCACCTCTCCCACCCCCAGTCAACTGTCCTGTCCGGGGGAGCAGGTGGCATCCCCAAGTGTCATAGCAATGTGTTTCCATTCCTTGAAGTATGCTTGCTACTTTGCTGTCCCTCTTTGTGGCCCCAAATTTGTTGTTGGGAGTTGGTCTCCACTGCATTGTGCCATCAAGAAAGAGTAGACAGAGGTGTGCTCACAGCAAAAAGGGCCTCTTTGCCCAGTGTCCATGTCCTCTTTCCCAGCAGGTTATCTTCGTTCTTAGAGGGCAGTCCCAAGGTCACCCTTAGGCTGAGGAAGTCAGCAGAGAATGGAATTCTTTTTTAGATCAGACTCCAGCCGCCAAATGACAGCACCTGTGCAGCATCTGTCCCAGGTTGTCCTGGGTCTTCCTCCCTCCTCCAGCCCAGGGCGGGGGTACGAACTGGCTAGAACAAACAAGGAACTTGAAAGACGCTTCAGCTTCTGTCCCTCGTGGCAGGCTGAGGACGAGTGCAACGTCTAGCCTTTCTGAATGCAAGACCAGTCTCCTGATCCTTCTTCTCATCCAACTTCTCAAGTATAGAGTCCACCTAAAATTATTCACCTTCACCAGCTCTGTGGCCCAGGTGGAGCCCCTGTCCATCTCACGACTATTCCCTCTTTTTCCTATCTCCTTCCTCTTGAATACCACTGGGTTTAGCAGAGGGGAGCCAAGGAGAGTTCTACTGGCTTCCCTTCTCTCTGTTGCTTTTCTGTACCTCTGGCCCTCTGTTCTGCTGCTCCACTGAGTGTTGTCCTCATTTGAAATCATTTCCCACCATCTCCCTTGTTGCCGTCTCTCACATCAGCCTCTCTCCTGCTCTGTGAGATGCAGGATGTCTAGATGAAAGCCAGCAGGCGAGGGCAGGACAGTTGGTCAAACCTGGGTCTGTGGGGCTCGAATGGGGTGGCCCCCAGCGGCACTTAACATTCTGAGGGCTTGAGGACTGGGATGGGATGACTGGGCAGGCGGTGCACACACTACCAAGTCCTGGCAGCTCCCCACCCTGGTGAACACACACAGGAAATAATTAAAAACCCATCAGGGCTGAGTTCTCAGCTCATGGGAAAGCCCAGGCTAGAGGCAGGCAAAGCTGAGTCTTGAGTTATGGTAGAGAATATGGATCTTCCCAGAATGAGGAAGCTCCTCAATGCCCCTGTAGGAACTACTTTGAAGAGTAAGAAAGCAAGCAAAAAGAAAGAAAGAAAGAAAGAAAGAAAGAAAGAAAGAAAGAAAGAAAGAAAGAAAGAAAATAGATTTATATGTCTACATAGGGAGGCTTGGAGATAGACACAAGCCCACTTTACTTTGTTTATTTTGCGTCTTTAACTTATCCTCCTCTACAATGGCTGCTGCACTAGCTGGGAGGGGAACAACATGAGGGCTAAGGTAAGGCCTCAGCAATTCTTCAGGTCACCAGAAGAACAAGCCTTCTGGTGTGGGGTGTGTTCATGGCCAAGATAGGCAAGAGGAGCGCAATACACGTACATGTTTAATCTTTATGGATCTTCTTAGGAAAACCTATCTAATTTCACTCAATTATGAATTTGGCTTATTTTCAGAGAAATGGAATGCATTTTAGTCTATAAATTTGGGGGAGAAATGACACCCCGCTGAGGTAAGAGGAGAGCAGGGGTTGGGGGGGTGAGTTGTCCCATCTTGTGGCTGGAGGAAGAGACAGACTGAGAGAGGCACTGACACATTTCACCGTTTCCTTTCTCCCCCTGACCGACACAAACTACAAAAAGTCCAGGGTGTACTCATGCCAAGTCTTGGGCCTAGACCCGAAGCCCTCCCCAGCCAAGGCCAGGGCTGACCCCAGGCCCGGCTGGCCTGTTTCTTTCTGCCCACGCTCGTCTCGTCCGTCCTGTAACCCTGTCCATCGTTCCCTCTCCCGCACACTTTCTTCCCTTCTCTCCCTCCTGCTCTTCTTTTCCCTTCTCTGTTCATTCAACTTGCCTCAAAAAGAAAACCATTTTCAAGGGGAGGAGGGGCATCTCCTCATCTGCTTGCACCTCTGTTGTTGCCATTTTCAAAGTTGAGCCCTTGCTAGAGATTCCGAGGTCCTCAGTTTCCTCAAATATATATATCATATATATTTTCCCTTAAATGAGATGAAATGAGTGGCGTCCTGGGGTGGAGGGAGGCGATGGCTGGAACTGGGGGTGGGAGGGGGGGAGTGAGGGGGAGGGGGGACGCATCACTCAACGTTGCTGCTGTCGAAGGTGTGGCACTGGAAGTCCCCGTCGACATACTCCATGCCTGGCAGCTTCATCCCGTACTTGTCCACGCACCAGCAGATGCCACGTTTGCGGCCACGGGAAGGCTTGCACTGAAGCATTGGGAGCAAGAGACAGTGAGGACGCTGCACCCGAGGCCCTGGCCCTGTCTGCCCTGCCTCTTCTGTACCCCAAGACAAACTCTCACCCCCAGGGAGTTGAGGGGGCTATGCCCAACTCCTGCAGAAGACCTGGTGTCCCCAGAGATAAATGCCACTTTAGGCAGCCTGCCCTCAGCTTCCTTTTTTTTAATGTTGCCTCTTTTGGGTCATCCCACATGGAATTTTCCAGGGATGTTCAAGGGAGGAGGCTGATTTCTTAAACGTGGTAATGGTGGTTGTCACAAAAAAAGGTGCCATGGTGGCTAATTTATCTTGTGCCAGGCACTGCTTAGCCATCCGTGCATGGCAGGAGCTGTTCTAAGGGCTCCGTGGTGGACTCTGCTACTCCTTATGCTCAAGTGCTGTGGTGACTGCTGGTGTCCCCTCTGCATGAGGAATGGAAGGTAGAGACTTTCAAACCTGAGCCCAGGGACTCAGCGAGCCCATGGCACAGCCAAGGTGAACCCCAGTGTGGCCTAGTTCTTCTCTGCTGACTTAAGTGGGGTTCCCTTTAGGGAACCTTATGTGACCTGAGGGAACATTACAAAGTTTTCTCCTTCTCTGAATTCATGTAGATAAGGTGGATTTGGGAAAAGCTGAAATTTACAACAGGAGGGACAAGGACAATCATGATTTTAGTATATGAACAGATTTTGGAGATTCAGGAAACACTGAATCATCGGTGGCAGAAATCACAGCTACGTGGGTGAGGTGGTGGTCCCCGGGAGCTGCCAGAAAACGTGTGAGGAGGCCATACAGGGGAACACACCTGCTTTCTTTTGTAGAATCCTTTGCGGTCACAGTTGGGCAGGTACACGGCACGGGGCACCATGCGTGGGCTCGCTTTGATCTCCTGCAGGGAGGCTTCCATGTGTCTGCGGCAGGGGCCCTGTGTGGACAGGAGGGATGAGAGGCACGCAGAACCCAGGGGCAGAGCACCCTGACGCACAGACGGATGGGCCAGGGGAGGGGTCCGAAGTCACCATCCTTAGCTCTGATCAGCTGCTTTCAAAGCCCCTTCCTCCTGTCCAGTCCCTGGCGCGTATTAGTAGGCTACATTTGGCCAGGCAGATGCTTCCTGTCCCTTTTGTCTTATAGGCCCCCCTCCTGCAGCTTTTCAATCCGGCTGAGCAATTCTACTCAGAGGCTGCTGTCTCTGGATGCACTAGGAGAATGTTCAGCCTCCACCTAGGGCAGGACACAGCGCCTAGGGTCGCATACCTGGTAGAGTCACCGTGCTGGCAGGCACCTTCCCTGAGTGACCCCTGCCTCTACTCTCACTCACCAGGACAAGCTCTCAGACCTGATACAAGCAAGCTCCAGAAATTATTCTCCCGAATCCTAAACTGAGGTACCTCAGTAAACCATCAGTCCTTGTCAGGTCAGGGCATTGTGTCTCCTACTGCCGCAGGTGCCCACAGGCGCAGATGCAGGGGAGGTCAAGCGGTAGCACGGAGGCAGAGGGAGAGGCAGACAAGCCCTGAGACGCACCTGCTCAGACTCCTGCCTCATCTCAGATGCAGAAGTGACCCGAGGGTGGGCGGTGTTCTCAGCTCCCCCCACAAACTTGGACTGGGTCAGCTTCTTCCTGCGGTCCTTCTTCACAGCCTCGGCCTTCATCTCAGAGATGCGGGTGTGCTTGGGTCGGAAGATCTTGGGCGAGTAGGTCTCTTCAGTCACCTCGGAGGTGGTCGGCTCCTCATGCTCACTAGAGTCTCTCTCTGCAGGGAGAAGGCATCAGGGGTCAGCTTCAGAGGTCTAGAGTGAGGGAGCGAGAAAGACTGAGGCGGATGGGGTCTCTGCCTTCCTGGAGCTCAGCAGACTGGGGGTTCTGGGAGAGAAGAGGCAATGCTCATTTAAATGCCTAAGACTACTGGTGAGACTCATCTAGAAGACTTGGTGGAGAAGGGGCATCTTGGCAAAGTCTCGCTGATGCAGGCCGTGCACATGGGGCTGTACTGGGAGAGGATCTGGAGATCCAGGCAGACGGAGGAAAATGAGACAGCCTAGGCGGGAGCAAGAATGACCAATTCTGTCCCCTTGGTGAGACATTTATGCTTTTAGAACTCCAGGGCACTGAGAGGCAGCAGGTAGCATCCTTAGGAGAGGGAGATGGGGGCCTTGGGGCAAGCTGAGCCTGGAGTGTGGGGCCTGGAGGGCAGTGGTGTGGAGCCAGATGGCATCCAGAGGCCTTGCTCTCTACTCTAGCTCGGAGCTGGCTTCATGCTCTGGGCCCGGGGAGGATGGGACATCACTCAGCTCCTGCCTGAGAGAGGCCGACAGCTGGCTGCAGTGGCAGCAGTTATATATAGGAGACACTTGGTGACAGTCTATACTTAGCTGACTTACGACCTTTAGAGAAGTGGGACTTTGTTCATGTATTTGTTGGCGTGTTAATTCCACCTGCCTGGCTGTTCTCAGTGTACAGATTTTCAGTAAATTCTCTTCTCACAGGTTTTTTCTTCTCAGCTCCCTGACCCCGAGCTTCAGTGGTAGACCCAGGGTGGGAGACCTTCCATTGTTGTTCCAGAGTGGGCAGGATGTCCCAGGAAGCCCAGGCCTGGTGTGGGTGGGAGACCCTGACATCACTGTCCTCTTTTCAGATATTCAGAAAAGGAGACAAGTTGGAGTGAGCCCAAATAACTAAAATGGAGTGAAGCAAAAAAAAAAAAAAATCTCATTTCATTATCCCTGGGATACTCAGGAATGCTTGCAGCTAGGTACCTGGGATGGGAAATTGAAGACCAGAGATGAATTCAAAGAAGTTGGGAAGAGAAGATTTTGCAAATAAAGAGGAGCCTTTGGCGGGAATAGACAGTTAGCTGTATGCTGCCTGGGTAGGCAGAGTTGAACTCCTAAGCTCTCCAACCAGAGAAAGTGCAGGCAGAACTCAGGGGAGGCATTTGGAGAATGGGCTTAATCCGGTCGGGGTGGCAGGTGGCAGGAAGCTGCCGAGCACCTGTTCCTCTCTCCACTGTCAAATTTAATGAACTATGTATTGGTTTTTAGTACAGCACTGCCAGAGACAACCCACCTTGAGGAGACTTCCATGGGTCTGAGGTGACCCTGCTGGTCAGTTGATCTGAGTATTTATTCAAAGGAGAGGAAGGGAATTACTGGCGAGGAAGAAAATGGGGAGAAAGCATATGGCAATGCTATGGACAGGCTCTCTAGAACTGAGCTCGGCACCGGGGCCTGCGCCCCCATTTGGGCTTTGCAAACCTCTTCTCCCAGCTCCCCAACTCCATGATGTCACAACCCACTGTGATGACCAGTCCCCTGGCTAATGTCTGGAGGTAGAATATAGGTTCTATGAATTAAGAGTTGTGGCTTGCAGTAAACCACAAGTTCTTGCTTATAGGGCAGGTTAGATGGGGGAGGGGTGCAGGGAGGAGCACAGCTGGTTCAGGCCCTCTTCGGGAAGGGAAGAGCTAGGGCTCGGTCATGTTCAGGAGTAGGCCGCACCTTGGCTGTGGTTCTGGAGTGAGAACGGAGGGAGCGCTAAACAGGACAGAGGAAAGCGGCTGAGCCATCTTGCTGAGCGATGGAGCACTGTGCTCAGACTCTGGGTGCCAGCAGGCATCCCAGCCCTCGGAATGTAGTGGAGAACTGCAGGATAGGAAGGTAGGAGACAGCTGCCACTGGGAGCCTGAGGGCATCCTGGGGGTGCGTGGCCGAGTCTCTTCCCCCATGAAGACCACAAGTGGATAAAGCAGATGTGTGGGCAGTGGCGGGCTGGCTGCTCACCAGTATGTGAGCCCTGGAGCGCTGCCTTAAACCACCTTGGAAGGCCAGCGCATGGTCTTGGGAGCCACATCCAGCTGGGCTCCAGGGATTCTTCTCTTTAAGGAAAGAGCACAGGAAGGCCGATCCCTCCCACAGAGGATGGAACCTGCTCCTGCAAGTCTTTTGAGGGCCCCTTAGTTCATCTGCCACATCCAAACAGAAGCAAGCCCACCACCTTTCTCAACGGTGTGCTCTTGGGCTCTTAAAGATGAGGGTGCCGTCCTATCCTGTCTACTTCTGTGGGAAGAACTCTGCCCCTTTGGTTAGAGGGTGTCCCTTTCCAGCTTGATTTTCTGTCTTTGTCATTGGTGGATGTGGATGCGTGGTGTGCACAGCCCTCTCTAAGTCATGAATGCCTTCTTTGGACTTAAGGCATCCTGGGCCATCCTTAACCTTAATCACCTTCCTGGGAGTAGTTATTTGGAACTTTTTTTAGAGTTTTCCTTGGAACTGTTCAAACTTTGTCCTGGGCCTAAGCAATGATGATACCAGAAAGCGAAATGTAGGAATTTAAGACACTTTTACCAATCTGTGGCTGCACCCAGGAGGGGGATCCTGAGGGCCCATATCCCCCGACTCCCAGAGATGCAGACTCTTTGGGCCATCCTGAAGGGCAGGCTGGAAGTTTTGATGTACCCCTCAGTTTTTGGTTCTACTGTACCCCATGGGACCTATTACTTAGGTAGTGGGAGAGACAAGTATCAAAGATACTAATCAGGGTCTCACAGTCAGCTGTAGGCTCCAAAGAGACAGTAGAAACCAGGAGGGGCCCTGCAGAACCATGAAGATGAAAGGACCGGAAAGAGAGCCAGCTACCCTTCCTTAGCTGCTTTTATTTTATTTGTTTATTTTTAAAATTTATATATTTGGTACCGGGTCTCACTATACAGCTGGGATTCCTAGTGATCTTCCCGACTCAGCCTCCCCAGCACAGGGATTATAGGCATGTGCTACCATATCCAATCTCGGTGGCTGGCTCAGCATGCCTGGGGCAGGGCTGGCACAGCATATAGCGCCAGGGATCAAACCCAGATCCTTGTGTTTGCCAGGCAGGTGCTTAGACTGCTGAGCTATCTCCCCCGCCCAAGGCTTTCAATTTTAGGATTTAAATTGTAGGTAAAATAAAAGGGCACAGATAGGCTAACTACTCCTGAGCTGTCTCACCAAGAGAAAATGAACTGAGGTTTGGAAAAGGAGTTAGGTGGGCAACAAAGAGAACTTCTTGGTGGGGCTGGCTCAGCCCCTCAACAGCAGCAAAGCAAGGTGACTGAGAGCCTTGAACCTATTTCATTAGCAGGTCAATACCCCAGGCATCCAGTAGATGGCAAGAGAGACTGACGCCCGCACAGCAGGGCATTCCTAGGGACTGCCAGCAAGTTTAAAATCTGGAATTGAGTGTTTCCTTCTTTACTCCTCGGATAATCTACTTCTTCCTCTTAGTTTGTGTGTCTCCAGCATACATCTAAAGTGTAAGGAAGATGGACAAAGGATTGTGTGGGGAGAGTGGAGAAGGTGGATGAGTGAGAAAGGGAGGTCAAAGCTCATTTGCATATAACTGGAAAGTGATATAGGAAGACAAACACCTTCTAGATAGCTGACTCCCGATGAAAGGGTACCACAGAAGATGCGAAATGTGGATTGGTCAGGGTTTTCTCCTCCTACAGTTGTGAAGGTTCCCTTCGAGCCCCTGAACCTACCCCATGACTGCGGAAGGGAAGCAGCCATTATGTTACCCGGGTATTATAAATCAATGGGCTCTGAGTCTACCCTGGCTTTTGCTCATAGTCCTTCTAACCAGCCATTCAGTGCTCCTGCCCCTGACACAGTAGGGTCCCCTCGTGTGGTGGGGCAGCAGCACTCACAGAGGCACACATGGGTACACCGTCCTCTCCCTAGGACAGCACGAGCCCCTGAGGACTGTCTCCCTTTCCATGTTCCAGTGAATTCAAGGCACAGGTGCAGTTGCTGTGGACCCAGAGGGTCCCAGGGTGGGCGCAGGGCATGCGCCCCAACCCAGCTTGCCCACCTGCCTGTTGCTGCCTCTGTTGCTGGTGGGGTCAGACACGTTACCAGCAGATGCAAGCATTCCAACCTATCTCGCTTCTGTTCCCACAGACTAGATGGGCCCCGGTGGGGACCACCTGCTGCATGAGATCTGACCTCCTACTCCAGGGCTCTTGGTCCTGCCCCAGCTTCTCTAAAAACCTGGTTGTTGGCTGGTGTTTATTTCGCACTCTACCTTGACCTCATAATCAAACATAAGAGAAAACCAGGTGGCCCAGATCTTGTGACTTGATTTATGGTGGCTGAAGGAACTGAGGCTTACTTAGAATCTGCAGCCTGGGCAGAGTGCAGGGCTCTGCTGGGCTACTTCCATGGAGAGGTTCTCCACTGACTTTTTCTAGCCGCAGGACAGGATGGGGTTTTCAGAGTCTCCCTATGAAGGATGAAAAGAGGAGCTGGGTTTCTTCTGGCTCTTATTTGGTTGTTACAGGGTCTCACTATACAACTCAGACTCATAGTGATCCTTCTGTTTTCAGCCTTCCAAGTGCTGGGATTACAGGTGTGTGTCACTATGCCCAGGCCAGCTCAGCCCAGCCTGGGGGCGGGGCTGTGACATGTGGTGCTGGGGATGGAACTGTGGTCCGTGCGCTTGCCTAAGCAGGTGCTTTAGTCTGCTGAGCTATCTCGCAGGCCCCCACATTCTTAAACACAGAGTTTTGGCATTTATCTTTGTCTCCCTGGTGGATGTATTTAATTAAGAACCTTTAAATGCATGAGTGAATCTGACCGTGATTCATGGGCAGAGGTGTGACTCTGCCCAGCAGCAAGGAGAAATGGGTCCAGAGGCATTTCTGGAATACAGTGTATGTCAGGGCAAAGTAGAGCTCCGGGAGCACCTGGGGAGGTCAGCTCATTCATGCCCTTGCCTTGA